GGGGGATCCGTATCTGCGAGTCGTTTCTTTATCGGTGCCGAGCAGCGGCAGTTTTCGGGAACTCCGACGCTATGGGACGCGTGTTTTATTACCCGAAAACCGACAGATATCAGGATTATGTGTTCCATCGGCGTCGACATAGCTCGTGTATACCATCCGTTCGACGCGATACGCCGCGATGATTCGAGGGTACGAAAGAAAGAACCGCAGAACATTCTCTTCTGCTCGAACGAGCCTCGAGACGCGAATTCGCTAGTTTTTTCCCTGAAACTCGGGGAAATAGTCTCGATTTCGTTGCTCGGAAAATAGATCGAATGAGAGGAGAGAGAGAGAAGAGTCGGCGAAGAAAATGGAAAACAGGGGAGGGGATTCGAACGAAACGAATCATGTTAAATATAATGCGAGCGAATGCCGATGGCAAAGGCGGTAGTGGCGATGTGGAGTTCGAAAAATGTTAGCTAGATGGTTATCGTGGTAATCGCGGCCTGAACCGATAAAATAAGACCAGAGCCTTTCTAATGCCGGGTTATTTTTTTAAATGGCCCGATCGGTCTTCTTCACCTGTGTGCGCCTCCTCGCTGTTCGCCGGGCCAACTCTCTCTCTCTCTCTCTCTTTCTCTGTCTCGGGGTGAAACTATTTCGACCTTTTTCGCACGTAGACCCTGGATCGAACCGGGTAATTTGGATTCGCAGTCGCGTAAGCGCCACCCTTGCCCCGCTCGATATTATTCCCCCCTCGATAAACCTCGTATCACGCAGCAAAGAAACCGGTGTTTCGAGCTCGGTACCATCTGGAATACTATGTAGAAGAATTTCGTTAAATATTCATACAGCGAAGAAAGTTGCGCGCGACGTTCTCCTCGCTAAAAGCAGAGCATTGTTCTCTTTTTTCTTTCTTCCGGCAGCCCGTGGCGTTCTGCGCGTAGGAACCCCGCTGTTTTTTTTTTTTCTTTCGTTTCCCCTGTCGATACGCGATCCACAGATTACTGGATGACGTTTCATTTTTTCCCGAATATCCAAAACACCAAACCGAGGGAGTGGCATCGAGTTCCCGCAGCGGCACCATTGCCAGAACTGTTTTAGCTTATCGCGTTTAATGTCATACTTCAGCGGCACGAGGAACCGGGGTACATCCCCTGGGAAACATTCGCCAGCTTAATGGCGATTTTTTGTCGTTGTACGACCGTTTTCACTTCATGACCGTTTGCCACGCGGACCATGCCGGACGTGTCAGCACGTCGGTTTTTCCCATTGATTTCTTCTCGATAGAGAGATTCAAGTCGAATGATCATGAAGGTGTCGCGTACGGTTTCTTTCTTTTTCTTACTTTTTTATCGCTAGGATAAATCATCCTAATAAGGGACACAAAGTGAAAGTAAGCTTTCCTCCACGAGATGAAGGAAGAAAAAAAAAACAACCACCAACCTCCTTCTCTGCGACAGTGTACGAATTAAATTCTTAAAGTCCCCTCCCGTGCATGTCGCATTCCGCGAGTCCCCGAGACATCTAGAATCGAGTTACCTCTAGGCTGCTTCCGTCTCCGTCGCGTTCTTCTCTCGAGGGAACCGATATTAATTCCCATAAATTTCCTTTCAAACGTGCACCGAGATACTCCCGCGGCCGCCTCTCCCCCCACCCTAACCTCGTCCCTTCGAAAGCAAAGGACTGTTTGCTTTTTAATCCGAGTATGCAAAGAACGTTATTCTTCTTTTTCGTCGACAAAACGACGTACGGGGAAAGACGCGGGTGGGGAGGAGAGAGAGGGTGCGACACGGTCGAGGCAGCTTACCGAGCTTCTTGCAATATTTAACGACGCGATGAAAGCTGGCGAAATCCGAAAGGAACGCATCGTTTTGCTCGGCCTTTTGAAAAATCAGCTCGTTTGACCTATCGGAACGGTCGCTTTGCTCGCAAAGTGGCGCCCGAGTTGACGGTAATAGTCGGATTGCGAATGCATGAAATTGGGTAAGTTACGCTTACGATAGTATCTCGCAGTATCTGCGTACTAAGGATTCGAGGTTTCCAAGAATCTGACTCGAAAGTCTCCTTGAAATTTGATCGTAATTACGATCTGCTCGAGAGAAGAATTTGTTCCAATAGAACACAATTGTGAGCAACGAGATCAAGAGCTACGCATCGGGGACCGAGAGATTCTCTCTCTCTCTCTCTCTCTCGCGCGCGCGCGCGTTGGTAACTGGAGGCAAGTAGACCGCGGTGGTCACCGCGATCGTCCTCTCGATCGAGAAGCTTGTTTTTGCCCGCGTGAACGTGGTGAACCACGAGGGAGACTGGTGGTTCCGAGCTGTATCGTAGAAAGCCGGGATACACGGCACGCGGAAAACGAGATCCATTCGAGTTGTTCTTTGAGGCGGCGTTCGCAAAGGGAATGTTTGCGGCGTTCTCGCCGGCGCGGCCGGAATGGAAAAAGGAGAGAAAGCCGGGGCACAGATTGAGTGGCGCGCGCGAGCGAAAAGAGAAAAGAGAGGGCAAGGAACGTCGCAGAAGTACCTACCGGAAGGGTGGATGCGTTTCAATCGGAGACCACAGCCCGGCGGTTGCTTTTCTTTTCTTTTCCTTTCGTTTCAGTTTCAGTTTCGTTCAAGTGGCACTTCTCTCCGCCGCAAAACCCGACCGACCGACTCTCGGCCGTGTTTATACAATGTAATGGCTTGTGCCAGCATTGTGCCAGCGCTGGCAAGCCACTCGTCGTGCACGCTGCCGCTTCGCGATTCCCTTTCGGCATTCGTTTGGCACTTTATCACGCCCCTAGATTGCCGCATTAAACATCCAGCAAAGGGAATCCCGACCCTAGCCGCGTGCGCCACCGCCTCCGTCGCTCGTCACCCACGCCAGCCGTTCCAGTGAAGTAATCGTTTCGGTTCGTCGCGATCACCTCTTTCTTCCCTAAAATACGGAAAATATCGAATACCTATCTCCTCGGGCTTTGGATTCGAGCTCGTCTCGTCTTTTTCGCTTTGCTCACCTTCTCGTGGCTACGTGTTTTCGCCGCAGCGTTCAACTGGCTCCGTATCCGGCGTCTTTGTCGATCGATGACGCGTTTAGTAACTCAAGAGGGCAAAAGGGAAAAGGGACGAGAAGTAGGAGACTCTATGGAATTATGGCAGGTGGAAGACGGCCGACCTCCCTGGGCGGCGATCGTCGTCTCCAATCTACCAGCAGATATACGGTGTCGCGTTACACGCGTGGCTAACGCTATCGACCAAGAAAGGGCCCGGCCTCGCGTGTGTACACGCCCGTACCCGCGCCGGAACGACCGCGTTCCATCGTACGGGATATAGAATTGCCACAGCCGGGTACATTGTTTACGCGGTTCGTTTCTATGTTCCAAGGACCAAACTTTCGTTCCTCTCTCTCTCTCGATCTCTCTCGATTAAAGGATTCGAATAAATGATTCCTCGAAAACTCAGATCGAGACGCGATCGACTCGATCCTCTCGAAGGAAACGCAGCCACGGTTCGAGGAAGTGAGTAGAAAGCTGGAACAAACGTTGACGAAGCGATCGGTCACGTAATACATCCGAAGCACCGCGAACGCTCCGAGCCGGATATGACTAGGACCGAACGATTATGCGCGGACTAACATAATCGTGGATGGTATGGGAACGATCGCCGATGAATAAGTCCGGGCCCCGCATTTCTCGAAGGATATCGAGAACAGGGGCTTCTTATGGCTCGCACCTCGAGGGCTTCGTTTCGCAACGAATTCCCTGAAATTTTTTCGAGAAACTTGACCGTCCGCAACCCCCTTCCACCTTCGCTCCAGGTATCCAGACTGATTTTTCTGCGATCCCTTCTCGATCGAGACCTCCACGCGACTCGCCGCGTATCTGCGACGCAAAGGTTTTGCTTTAAAATCGTCCGTGAGTTTCCTTGCGTTTCTTCAGTCATTCCGGCTTACGTGGCTGCAAGAGAATCCAGGTTTTTGCCGTGAAATTGCGAGCGAGCGAGTGAGCTCGCGACGCGTTGTCGTGGCTCCACGGCAAGAAGAACGGAGATGCGGTAATTGCGTCAAAGCCAGTCGACGAATTTCAATCACGCCCGACTCCTCCCTCGTCGTCGGGAAATCATCCAGGCATTATGTATTTGCTCTCGAGTATAACCGGTTCGGTGGGTTCACCCTCGCGAAGTCGCCGCCTGAAGCTCGGCTCGGGCTTTCTCTCCGTCTTTCTCTCAGCTTCCCTCTCATCTCTTCTCTCTCTCTCTCTCTCTCGCTCGCTTGCTCGTTCTCTCCTTGAATTCGCGCGAGCTGTCGCCCCCGCCGCGGTTATTAATATTTGCCGACAATTACCGAACCGGCGACCCCTTTAATTCCGCTTCTCCACGACCAAGACACGTTCGAGAGATCGATTCGAAACGACCTTGTTTCCTCCCCCGTTCTTCCATCTTTGACGAAGCTGGTATTTTCTCAACTCTTTCCCATTACGAATATAATTTTGAATCGCTTGCGTTATATTTACGACTGCATAAAAAAAAAAGAAAAGAAACTACACTGATCATTAGTTTCTCACGCGATTCCTCGATCGCGTTCGAACGATTCACGAAAATACCTGGATGAGAAACACGCACGAAGGAAGGGAAGAAAAGGGTAAGGACTCAAGGTGGTTCCGTGAAAACCGATCGCTTTATTCGGTGGTATATGTCTCCATTAGTTCGCGAACCCTTCGAGGAAGCGACCAGCTGCTCTTCTAAATCCTTGTTAGACTAACTGCCTGTCGTTTCTTATTCGCATCCATCGATATCGTTCCACGTAGCCTTCGATACTAGGCTGTCTCGTTCCCCGAATTTTCCGGCGGAATCGATCGTTTCAATCGGTTTCTTGCGCTCTTCTCCAACGCAATCCCAACGCATTCGCCAATCTTGGTAAAACGAGCTTGAAGTTTGTATTGCGCGTGAAATCTGGCTTACCCTTCGTCCTTCTCTTGTCCGGTTTCACTTGCGCACGGTTTCCGGCCGATGGAAACTAGATCCGTAGTTTCGAATGGAAACTGGCCTGTCGGAACGTGCCGGGTTCTACTTTGGGGATTGGAAAACCCATCAACGCCCGCCCAGTCGAGAGGCAAGCAAAGAGAGAGATAGTTTGACGTCAAGCCTGGTTGCAACCCTCTCTCCGGGCACGTTTCTCGCTGGACGATCCAGAGAACCCCCTTTGGTTCTCTCGCAAAGCTCTCCGGATCCCGGGACCGCGCAGCAGTCCCGGAAGAGATTCTTCGTGAGAGAGGGAGAGGAAGAGAGAGAGAGAGAGAGGGAGAGACCGAGTAAGCTCCGCTTACTAAGTACGTTTTGCATCTAAGACGCTCACCGAGTTTAATTACGGGGCTTTGCGGTGCCGGCGACACAGACGCGCCGGGACAACGAGCTGCTTTCGCCAGTATGGTCAGCTCGGTTCTCTTCGTCAGCTCCGCCTCCTGTTGGATTCTTTGATCAGGGAAACACGAATAGCCGAGAGAGAATTTCCAATGAAACGTCTTGTTCCGCGATAAACAACGACAAGGAGTAGCTTCTTCAACGAATAAGTTTGGGTAGTCGCAGGGGAATTAGATAATAGAATCGAAGGGGTAAGAAGAGGAATTCGTTGAAAGGAAAATCAGGATTCAAGGAGCGTGGCTAGCTGCGGCTGGAGCCGAGCGTATAAAAAAACCCGTAGAATGACGTTTTACAAAGGGTCTATCAAGCGTGGAGCAATGTTGATGGGCAACAGATAGGCGGAGGGCCGGTGCAATTTCGCTCGGCGTGCAGCGGCGACGCAGTCAGCGTCGCCAGCGTTACGATTTTTACGACGCTCCCTTTACAACCGACAAAATGTAATTTTCTGCGATATGTGTACGGACACCATGGGGGTCGAAGTGCCACGACGGAAAGTCGGAGGAGACGGAACGACGCGAATGGCGGAGTCAAAGTGGCAGGAGGAAGAATCACGGAAGAGGGAGGAGAAAGAGGAAGGGGAACGACGATAGTCGCGGAAATAGCCAGCCAGCCGGTCGAAAGGTTCTGGGACGACCCCCGATCAAGAGAGCGCGTTCCTCCGCTTGCGAGTATCCCTTAGGAAGGAATCGAAGGTTATTATAACGAAGGTGGATCGTATCGTTCGATTTACCGTGGCTATAAAATTTGAGGAATTTTCAAATACGTTTTCAAATAGGACGTTTATAATAGCGGGGCGGGGGCATTCTCGGCCACGTTCACCTTGGCTGGGAAATAATTTTAAGCGGCCACGCGGGACGTCGTAGAGCGTCGCGGCGATCGAATTATTGCGGAGGAACCGCGACTCAGTGTCGACTATAAATTTCGCCGGACAATAAAGAACCGCGCCGGATGGGTATCTTCGTTCAAAAGGGAGGGCCGCCGAAAAAAAGAAAACTGAGCTGAACATGGAGGGCTTCTGCTCTTGGTCGGCTCGGTGCCGCGATCGTTGAACGGATGACCATCTACGCCATTCATTTTTTCCACGTGTTCGGACGTGCCGCGACATACCGCGTAGTAGCCGCCATCCGTTCGTTTCTACGCGATCGCGCCCTTCGTCCCCGGTGGCGCGAGTCGAAAAGTGCCTGCCGCTCGTTCGGTAACGGAATTGATTTTTGAAATTTATCGTGGCGAGCTTCCGTTCATCGCGGCTCCCGTCTCGCAATCGGCGCGTAAACAAGCCGAGTTTACGACAGGGTTGCACCCGAAAGCACCTTCAACCGGTTAATTGGAAGGCCGGTCTAATCGCGCCGCGGGCCACCGCCACGAAAGAGGCTTTGTTCTTTGTTCCGGGCGAACGCCTTCGCCCTCTTTCCCTCCTCTTTCACCCCTTTCCACTCTTATTCCATCCTTTCGCGTCAACCTTTCCTCTTTTACACTCTTTGTAGTTTAACTTCCGGTACAAAAGAGTGGTCTTTTCTCTTGGCTCTTAGTCGTTCGCGGACCACTGCCTTCTCCTCGCCGAACGATGATCCTACGTTGTTAACTCGATCGAACGCGGCAGAACGCGAGAGAAAATTCTAACGAAACGTGTTGTCCGTTCGGTTCGATGTACTTCGATCTTGGAGCAGAAAGCGGAGGAGTTGGAAAAACACGGGAATTTCATTGGATCGGTCGAACGAACGAACGAACGATACGCGTATCGGCGAGCCCTGTGGCGCGCACGATTTCACCGGCAACGCAATGCGGCAGTCGCAGTTGGGCCGAGATAATTAGGTTTGAGTGCACTCTGGCCGCCGCAGTCGGTAACTCAGTTATCAGTGGACACCCCGCGTACAATGGCTATCACAACGGCATCAAACATAACGCATCAATTAACGTGAACAATAACCGAGCCGCGGCAGGAGTGACGGGAAGGGTGGATGGCGCGGGCGCGAACGTTCAGGGCCCTTCCTGTACCTCCGCAACGACTACGCTTAAAACCGATGATCGCTCTACTCCATGTCGATACCGCGGAGCCAACTACGCGGGTTCTACGATTTTTCTGGAAACTCTTTCGCGCGGGCATTGAACGTTGGTCCTAGCCCGAGTCTAGAAGAGTTTTCAGCAGTCGACGCGAGATAATTGCGAATCGACCGAAGAACGCAGACATCCGACGATGCGTTCAGCGATATCGGCGCGGGCTGGTAACGAATTCGGCGAAGCGGCGAAAAAGCAATATCCAGAAGACCCAATGTGCGCGTGAATCCGCTCGCGTATGCGTGCCGGTACGCCTCTTCATCCATACATGCATATCCATAAGTGCGTGCTATCGCACGAGGGAAAGGGGGAAACAAAGAGGTAGGGAGAACGTGCGGGGATGGGGAGGGAGGGAGGGAGGGAGAGAGAGAGAGAGAGAGACAGAGGGAGAGGTGGCAAGGGATGAGCGTTCGTATGCATCGTGCACGATCAGGGCCCTCTGGCGTATTCAAAGCGCGCAGCGTCGCTCCATCTCGAGGAATGCGGCAATCGATTATCACGGTCCTGCATATCGATACTACCGTCGGACACAGGGCCGCGCGGCGCAGAACCGCGCGCGTCGAGCTAGAGACAGCGACAGAAAGAGAGAGCGAGAACGAGAGAGGGAGAGAGGGAAAAGAGAACGAGAGATACAGGGAGAGCAAGAGAAAGAGAAAGAGAAGGCATCGGGGGACGCGCACACGCTAGACAGGGTGCAAGGGTGTCCGCTTAGCACCGCTCTCCGCTACCCTGGCCACACACGCACACGCGGCCCGACTAATGACATCGGCTCCTCTATAATACTCGTGCCTCGAATATCATCGGCCCGATATTGCCACCGCGAGAGATTAATGTTTCGTCCTAGCCCATCCCCTCCTCCTTTCAGCCTTATATCGCCCTCTGCTTCTTCGTTCTTTACCGCGTACAGTTCTTTCTCCCGGTCCGTCGTTGGTTCTTTAACGGCTGTACGCGATTGGTCCGGTAATCGGTTGGAAACGCGATCGTGATTTGCCCGAGACTGTGATTTTCGTGCAAAGTTTAAATTTCAAAGTCGGAGCAATCGTAGCCGGCGACTCGTTTTCGCGCGGAAGAGAAAAAGTTTGGCATCGTCGAGTCTGTCGTCGGACCGATAAACGTCCAAAGCAAGCTACCCTACCGTTCTCTGGCAACTTGCAGACGAGACGAGTGGAGTTACGGCGCACGGCGAGGTGGTAGTTGGTCCGCGACGAGCGGCTGGAACGATAATGGCGACTATTAACGAGCCGTGGCGGGCGCGAAGACACCTGAGCCCAAAATATCACCGCGATTAATGCAATTACAGCTTACAAGTCCCTTCGGCTCTAAGACCTCCGGTATTACTAATTCATCGCGTAGCGCGTATGGATGTGTTTCCGGCGAGGTTTCGCCCTCCGTCCCCGCGCTGCCCGATCGTCCTCCGACCATCCCTGCCCCGTATCTCTACTCTCTTCCTTTAGTTTCCTGCTTTACCCCGACCTTCGTCGAGACCTTCGTCGAACCGTCGAACGCGAGAACCACGAGATCTCGAGGTTGCGGCACTCGTCGTCGAGTACATAGGTAACGCGGCATAGTGTATCCAGCAGCCGGATGCTGGTCGTTCCTTCACGAGGGTGGATGAAGAGAGGTAGGTACGCAACGGATTACAGCGTTTTCCGAGCCCTTGGCGCAGAGCGGTACCGGCGTTTGGCGGTTGCGGTTAACGTAATTACGCCGAAGGACCTGAGCGGCCCCCTCGCGCGAAACCGCGAACGTCTTGGCTCCGCATCTTGGCCTACGTCTTCGTCGGCCCCCTTTACCCACCGTTTTCAGCCCCTCGTGTTCGGTTTTGCAACGCTCCAACCGGGGCAACGAGACGACGAAGCACGCCCGGTGTCTGCTAATCGGCTGATCGCTGCCGCAACGCGTCTCTCAAACAAACAATGTCTCTCCCTCGTTTTCGTCGTTTTGCGTCAAATCTCGATAGAACGGATTAAATGCTGAAACCTGCATTGATTCCTCTGCTTATCCGGGATCGTTCGTTCTCGATGTTCCTAACTCTTGATTCACAGGCCGTTCCGTCGAATAGGGAATCATCGAGCATTAAAGCGTGTTTTTGCGCTGGGCGAATGATCGCAATTTAGAGCAAACGTGTGTGCTGCGCCATTCGATGACTGGAAAAGTTACAGAGCACGGCGATCGAGCAATTACGGGCGGACGCCATCGCGAACGTGATCGTCATCGTCATCGATGCCCGGACGGTACACCGGACCAAGCCATCACGCTTTATTAGCGCGACGATCAGGACAATCGGTCCAATGATTACAGCCGAAACATAATCGTTAACGCGTACGACCCATTAATGACTATGGACCATTCTCGATGCCAAATTGGTGGCGGCGAATGGGCTCGAGAGAGCGGATCGCGCGCACTCTATATACACCTGCATACGCGCGGTATGCGTGTAACCGCGTAAACGCGGACGCTTCACGCGGTCGATGATGAACGTATTTGCACCGCCCGTTAATCCCCGTTACGACGAATCAAAACGTAAACGCCAACATCCCCCGCGTTGGCTGACAATTCAACCCCACATTTCCATTTTCTCTCTCTTTCTCTCTCTCTCTCTCTCTCTCTCTCTCTCT